AATATAAATACTATAGCTTTTCTGTTATTTAGATATATATTCGCTAATTATAGGATACCCCAGAAGATAATATCAGACAGAGATAAGCTCTTTATAAGTAAGATATAGTAATTATTCACGGATATAGTAGGTATTAAGTATAGACTCTCTACTGCCTATTACCTATAAATAAATAGCTAAACAGAAAGAACTAACCAGACCTTAGAACAGTACCTAAGGCACTATATAAACTACCAGTAAGATAACTAGGCAGGACTGTTACTACTAGTATAATTCGTATATAATAATAGTATATATATAACTACTAAGGAGACACTATTTTTTATAAATTATAGGTATAATCCCTCGATCGTTAGTAAAGTAATCAGAAAAAAGACAGAAGTAGAGTTATTAAGACTACTAGCTTTATAACTTAAGCAACTGTATCTCTAGTTAGCTAGAGATATTGAGTTTTTTAACCTACAGATAAAGCACTACTATAATAAATCCTGCCAGAAGAGACCAGACTTTAAAAAAGGGAAGAAAGTATACTTTCTATATCAGAACATTAAAACTAAGTAACTAAGCTCAAAACTTAACTACCTAAAACTGGGACCTTTTAAAATTAAAGAAAAAACAGGACCAGTTAATTATTGCTTAAAGCTACCAGACAGTATACGACGTATCTATATAATATTTTATATCTTATTACTCAAAACCGTACCAGAAAACACTAAACTCGCTATAAATATAGAAATAGAGAAAGAGACCGAAAACGAATATAAAGTAGAAGAAATTCTGGATATAAAATACGTTAGTAGGAAACCTTACTACCTAGTAAAATAGAAGAGATATAATACCTTAGAAAATACCTAGGAATCTATTAAGAACCTAACAGACTGCCGCTAGCTAGTTCAATAGTTCTACCAACAGAGAAAGAAGATTTTACCGTCTCAGCCACCAAAAAGGTATCCAGGTTGTCCTAGAAAACAGACGATGACAGATTAGTTAATATAATTATCTGTATCAGACTAGAATTATCAGACGTCACTGTAAGAATCTGATAATTTATATCAAAGGTACGTTAGTTACTCTCAGATACAGTATAAGAAGGCCCAGCCTTATATTCTTTTTGTTTGCTCTTAATATATTCCTTCTTAAGACAATCTTTTTCTTTAGCTTTACGACGCTTAAGCTCTTTTAGCTTAGTAATCTCTTTATAATTATAAGCGATAAAATTACCAGTATATTTTTATAATAATTACTTTTATTTTCAGAGATAAAGAAACTTAGCCAAGATTACCTCCTCCTCCTCTTCTAAGGAATTTTATAATTTTACTAATCAACGCTATTCAGTATCGGTAAAGGTAGGATTTAATATCTCGTACTTAATACTACTACTACCCTTAATATAATCACTATAGTAATCAGAACAGTCAGTATAGATATATACTTATTTTAGGTAAATATAACGGTCGTAAGGAACAACAGAGTAGTAATCTTCTTTAGAAATACGCTTAACTAGCTAGTTCTTACAAACGGACGACTTTGCTAAAGGTATAACAGCAGTAGTCAGAAAAAATAAAAAACAAAAAAACAGGAATAAGCGCTAGGGGACTTATAGGTTTAAGAACCTTTGAGGACCAAAGGGCTAAAAGGAGAGAGTAATATTATAGAATATAATAAACCCTATAGATTACGGGAACTAGCGTAGGTATAATAGAAGGATTACGGCTAACTAACTTAGCCTAGAGAACAAAGACCACAGTTACGTAACCATCTTATATTATATAGCCTTAGAAAACATAAGATTACGATTACTTAAGACTCAACGTCATATAATTAATAGGATAATATAAACAGGTACTTATCAGCGATAAGAGGAGACTTATCAACAATAAGCCCGGAACAGATCAACGATAAGACCCAGTCTTATCAGCGATAAGAGGAACTAGATATATAAGAACACTCGCTCAGTAATATATATTTAGTTCTTTGCGATTAATCAATCTAAGTTACTGTAATATACCTTTCGGATTACTCTTCTAGTTTTACATAAGTAACAAACCCACACAAGTACGGGGAGCTTATCAGACTGACCTACTTAGCGCCCTATCTGGCACACCCTTCGAAGTTACTCAACAAGACCCGAGTCCGTATAAGGCTTTACATAGCAACAGTACGGTTATAAGTCGATACTTAAGGCCTTATTGGTGTTTGCTCTTATAAGGCCGAATTCAGCCTCCTCAGTACAAATCGTTATTCTACCCTATAACAAAAGTAAGTTCTACCAACTGACCAACCACTAATAGTGTGACCAGCTAGCGAGTGCGTAACAAATAAGCGTTCTTTCTACCGTTACCAATCTTACACCAGAAGTATAAGTACCCGGTAAGACCATATAACCTTAGGGTATACCAGTAGGTATACTAATAGGTAGATAGAAGGGTTGATTCTGGTATACTACCAGATATACCCTCTAATATACTACACTACAGAGGATTAGGTATATAGGGACGTTCGTCTATATATATATATTTAGTTCTCTGTAATTAATTAATCTAAGTTACTGTAACAGACCTTTTAGATTACTCTTCTAGTTTTATATAAGTAATAAACATATATAAGTACAGGGATAGACCTTGCCAAAGCCCGGGCCGGGCCTCAGTTTTGGGCCCGAGCCCACGGGCCGGGCTTTTTTAGTAGCCTGCGGCCCGGGCTGCGGGCCGCTAAGGAAGCCCGTAGCCCGTGACTAGCGGCCCGCGGGCCTAAGTTTTAGGCCCGAGCCCATGGGCCTACAGCCTGCAGGCTGGGCCGCGGGCCGCTAAAAAAGCCCGGCAGGCCTGTGACCTGCCTATTTAGGAAGGTAAACTGTGCATAACTTGTCAATAATACCATTAGCCTTATACGTTTTTTATGGCCGTATAAGTTTTGTTTTTATTTTATAAATTTTCCCCTTCTATAAGTATACTCTTAATAATTAAGGTATTAGTACTCAGTACTAGTATCCTATATGCTATATGATTTAAAAGAATTTATATTTAGTATAATACTATTTAAACTAGTCCTTATATTATACTCTGCTGAAAACTGACTGTCTAGACCCTTAATTCTAACATCTCCTTATCCCCAACTATTGAGCTATTATCATCGTAATCCTCTGCGGCCGTCTTACCAGCAGTAGTAGCTAGATTTATAGGTAGACCTGCCTCCTTACGGTAGAAGAAGGAATTATCACCAAATGTACGCTTCTCTATATCCTTTATGTTTTGATATACAATGAAAAAGCGCTGACAGACAACCTTACGCTAGTTACGAACCATAGCCTAGGCCTAATCTGAATCTGGCCCAAAGAGAACATCAAGATCACTAGCAACTATAGGGCTTATCCACTTTTGCTGTCCTACCAAACAAGACGATATCTCCGTTATTGTTAGTAATTAGGCAGTAGCCGGAAAAGCATAGGCTATATTGCTATACTTTGCAGATATATAGCCTGATAGTATCTTAGGGGCAGGCAATAGATCCCGATAGGCCACTGAGAGGTCCTCCTACTGTCCTGACTCTGGAGTATCTAAAGTCATACCATTGTTATATACCCGAATATACCATAGGAGAATAGTACAGTAAATGGCAGTTGCTAGCCCAGTAGAGCTATAGGGGATAGTGGGGAGGCCAAGTTGTATATCCCCAGCTTTATAGACCTATTAGACCCAGTTAGTTAGTAAGGATACCGTATAATATTATAGGGTTTTATATACCTGCTTTGTCTACTGGGTTTTATACTTTATAGCATCCCCAGGAGTCTATATAGTTGTATCAATCCCCTACACCAACCTATTCTTTTGCTTTTTGCCCTGCTCAGCACAACGTATTTTAACGTCATTCTACTATTCTCTGATGTAGTGGTATATCTTGGGCAAGATCTCTGTATAGTTTTGGTTGTTTTCATCCGTTAGCGATACAGAGCCTTATAAGATACTGCTGCCACGACTGGTCTGGACAAAATCATTAATATTGATATTAATGTGGCGAAAGAAGGTTTTCTCGCTAGGCTGTATACTCTTCATATAATATAGGAATGAAATCAGTCGATACGTATGATCGGGCCGGAAATAGATATAGTATAGATAGTAAGCTATATCCTGGCGAATAAGTTACTGGCCCAGAGCATGCTATATCATACGATTCCACCCAAGACGTAGGCGGTTTGGTTGCTGGCAGAAGTGGTATTTATATATATTGATCTTCTCTTGGATCAGAGGCATAATACCCTTAGGATAGTCTCCATCCCAATTATCAGAGAGGTAGCTGAATAGACCAGGAATAATAATCGCGCCGTCACGCTGTATCTGCTCTGGGAGCTGTTTTGCCAAAGCACCCTAAGGTCCCCGGTTTATATTAGGTAAGATACGGTGAATTAGCTCAAGTAAAGTAAGCTAGGTATATTTGGCAAAGTCAGCGATCAAAGGCTGAGGTATGATATGGGCCTATCGGTAAAAGCTACGGTTGCTATCAGCGGTTAGGTTAGGTTTTGGCTAAAACCAAGGCTTATCCCTCAGAACTTGGTCAAACAAATCTAAATAACAGTACAGATAGCTGATACGTATAGTAAGCTGCTTATGACTTTTGCTGTTAGCATTTATATCGAATAGCTCAAAGAGCTTAAATATATGCTCACAGTAAAGTGTCTGCTCGTTGATTATACTAATCAAATAGATTGTCTTCCTAATAGTCTGCAATATAACCAGCTTCATACGAAGAGTCCCTGCCTTAACAGTATTATTAATGACCTGATTTATGCTGCCATATTGAATCGTATATATACAATCAGTAGGTAATTTGTGCGAGACTACTGCTACTGCTGCTGTAGGGGCTGATATAATGGCTGTTACTGGGGAAGGATTAGGAAAGATATCTTCTATCTCTATATACTCTGGCAGAGGAAGACCCTAGGTATCGTCTGCGTTGCCTATATTGATATCAGGGCCGGGGGTTACTGTAGATATAGGCAACACAGTTTAAATGTGAGGAGTAGGGTTAGTAACGTCACTATCGTTATCGCTGCCAGCACCAGGTTTATTATCGTCTCGATCGTCAGGGTTAATACCCTTGCCGTATTCACAGCAAAAGCCATCCTGGCTGATCTGTATATTGTAGCTCCGAATCTTTCGGGCCCTGGGCTTTTTAAATTGACGTAGGTTGACGGCCTTCTTAAGATTGCCCTGGGTAATCTGCTTTTGGCTATAGTTACCCTGCTTCCCTCCCCTAATCTGTTTGATTATAGTATTGTTTACTGTATTCCGGATATCGTTAAAAGTAAGCTCTATATTGAGCATTTTACTAAGCACATCGAACATTGACTTCGTGCGGAGATAAAGAAGAAGAGACTGTATACAGTCGCCCTATATAGTAAGTACTCTCTGGCTGAGGGTATCTATTGTCTTCCGATTAGAAGCACGGCGTTAGGCTATCTTAGCTACCTCCTTCTATTTCTCTTCGAATTAGTGAATATTATAAGTGCCCTCGTAGACCTCAGAGTTCTGAGCCCAGGTATAAATATCACAAAGTACCTGCTTAATTACATTAAGCTACTCAAATACAATGTCACAGTAGTTATTGATAATCTGATATGTATCTGGTTTCAGCAGGGAGCTTAGCCACTTAAGAAGCTCTTTAGTAGTCTTAAAGTACTTTGCTCTGATAGTCAGGCCACTAAGGATTTCGGCGGAATCCGAGATCAGAGTAGATACTGTATTGGTAGACTGACGTAGGGCTAGAGATATCTTGTTGCTTTAGCTTTCGTAGCTTTTGTGGCCGTGGTTAATATTGTAGCTATGGTGGCTGTGGTCGGTATTGTAGATGGCTTCGTTTGGTAAAGCAGGGCGTCCAGAGACTGGGTGTAGAATACCCGCCTCGATCACGTCCTAGGATATAATAAAATACCCTTTTCGCAAACAAAGGATAGAGCAAAACGTATTTAAAGACTTGTCTGTGTCAAAGAATCAAAGGTTTCGAAGGCTTTAAAGCAAAATAATAAAAGGAATTAAGCTGAAAGGAAAAAGTTTGAAGAAGTTAAGTTTTGAACAGTGGTAAAAGAAGCTCCTATATCCCGTACAGGCTTCTGATTAGCCAGCTTATAACGGCCAAAAGGGGAAGTTGGCAATTAAGGAAGGCACGCCCGAAGAGGAAGTCTTCTATAGAAGGAAGGCGCGATACAGGACGGGAGGGATGATGCCTTATAAACCAGGCCAGGCGATATCTTTCTGCCGAAAGATAATCTCCTAGGCAGCAGCGGCAGCGAGAGATATCTATATAGCGACAGCCATACCGGGAGTCCTGGCAGTTGTTAGCTATAAACCAAAAAGGAAGCCTTGCATGTTAGAAGCGTATACCTGGCTAGTATTAGTCCTTAAAGACATAATAGCAATCAATATATTCACTGTCTTCGATTATTGTTGCTGAGATACGTCTTTAATTGCTGTTGCTGAGACACATCTTTGATTACTGTTGCTGAGACATATCTTTTATAACATATACAGATCGACGTGGTCCTGCTTATTTTAATATTAGCAAGCCGTAGATAATTTATTTATATAATATCTAACCTTTTATGGCTATAGGGCCAGTAATTCGGCTGAAACCTATTCTTTATAAAGATATCGTATGTTGCTAAGCCAGAGGGAAGCTAGTAAGAAAAAAGATAGAGAGACTGCTGCAGCCACAATAAAATAAGATCTTAGCCTAGCTATAGCCTATAAAATCATATAGCAATATTATGTTAGTTCTGCCTCAGGCCAAAGTAGGTATTTTACTCTGTGGTCAAAGATATATATCTCTTATAGATATATCCAAGTCGATTCCCTGGCAGGACCTACAGTATAAGACTTAATTTCCTTAATGTGGATATTAAATAAAATTAAGAATACCATAAAAATGAGAAAATTCTTGGGATTTATAATCTATTATTTATTTTACTATAGCTTTTTATCTCTAATATATTCTCTTTAATAGAAGTTATTATCAAGTATTGGTAAAGCATTAATTTTAGGTTAAGTATAGGCCGCAGGCCTGCGGGCCGTAAGCCTATAGCCTGTAGGCGTACAGGTTAACCCTATGTACCTGCTTTATCTTAAGATAGTAGCCAATCAGCATCCTAGCCGCCCTACTCTATACCTTGCTTGAAGATCTTAATATATTCCCTTACCTAATCTCTACTCTGGTACCCTAACTAAAATTGTAGCTCTTGTTACTGCCTACAATGCTATAACTCGTTTTGCCCCTAGCTATATACTAGTTTTGGCACTAGCTATACCCTAGCCTACCTTTGTACTAATTAGGGTCTGATATACCCCACTTATCTACTTCCCTGCTTCCCCGAGCATATTAATTTGACATATAAACTATACAGCCTCGAAGTATCACAAGAAGCTACCCTAATCTTTCTGCTGAAAGGTGAGCTATGCTTTTCTTTCTGCCGAAAGATGAGCTATGCTTTTATTTCCGCCGAAAGATAAGCTATGCCTTGCTTTCTGCTAAAATATAAGCTATATCTTTCTTTCTGCCGAAAGGCGCCCTAGGCTAGCAGGCTTTTTAAGGCCTATAGGTAGCCCGTAGACTTTAGATAGCCTACAAGGTCTGAGATATAAGCTATACAGCCTCGATATATTATAAGAAGCTATCTGAATCTTTCCGCCAAAAGACCCCCTAGGCTAGCAGGCTTTTTGGTAGCCTGTAGGCTTTTGGATAGCCTATAGGCTTTTGGATATCCTGCAGGCTTTTAGATAGCCTACAAGGCCTGCTATATCTTTTATTTTCTAGATGATTTAGGGGATTTCAGCTGCCCCTACCAAATTTAACAAAATATTTTATATCTTTATAAATAGAGGTAAGGCTCTTAAGACTTCTAAGTTACTATCAGCCAGGATCTTCTTTTACTTATGTCTTAATTCTCTTAATTTTCAACAGATCAATTATCTATATTTGATAAAGTTATTTTATTAGACCCCTTATCAGAGACACGATTACTAATCCCTACCAACCCCTTGCTCAGTAAGGCTTCCTACTTAATTCCACCCTCTAACGCACCCTCTGATATATATTCAGTTACCCCTTCAGCTAGTAATTTATATCTTCCTGATTGGCTAGGAGATATAAACTCTATCCTACAGAAGATTAAGCAAACTACTCTTTATTATAACCGTTGCTATCGTACTTACGCTATCTATAATATAATAAAGGATACTAAGCTTTTTTTAGCTTGGTGGCTTCAAACTGGCTATAGAAGGTTAAATAAGATACGCTAGGATACTGGGCAAAACTCTAGCTCTTGGCAGGGGTTTTAATAAGTTGCAGAAGCAGATTTAGATAAACCAAAGATACTCTGTCAATTATATCACAGTATCCTAAAGCATCCTAAATATAGCGGTGGTTTGTCTATAATGGCCTGTCATTATAATGGCCTAAGTTATAAGACTGCCTGTAAGCAGAATACTATTAAGAAGTTTGCAAAACCGGTATACTATCCTATCTGTTATTATAATAACTATCTCTGGTTTACTAATCTAAATATATTTTATAGGTTGCCAACTATACTACTCAAATTACCCTCGCTTTATAGAACGCTAGTTAATTATGTTTTATCGCTTAATCCTGTCTCCTGTTTCAGCTACTTACCTATCCTAACTTTATTAAGTTAATCCAAATAGCTCAACAGATGTCTTTAAGACTTTTAGTTCTAAGCCCTAAGGCAGCAAAGCATAAGCTTAGCCTTACAGTAATACAGCGCCAGAATAAGATACTAGGGTTACTTCCAAAGGAAAATAAGCTTTTAATTACCCTTAACTGCTGGACCTCGCTATTTTAATAAGCGTTTATGGTAATTACTGCTTATTTTATTAATACTGATTAAAACTATCAGGAGCTCTTACTTAGCTTTGAGCCTCTTTTAGGTAAATATTCAGGCCCTAACCTTATAAAGGTTCTTATTATAGTCCTTCAGAAGCATCAGCTAGCAGACCGGGTCTTAACAGTCACTACTGACAACGTATCTAATAATAAAACATTAATATAAAGTCTTTATAACTCTGAAGAGCTAGAGCCTTTTTGTAAGCAGATACAAATTATCCGGATTCTATATCTTATATATATAATCCAACTTATATTGAATCAGCTTCTTGGTCGTATAAAGGCATTACCAAAAAATAATATAACTGAGTACTAGTCTAATAAGAAGGACTATACTATCTGTATAAACCAGAGGAAAAGGGAGATTACTTATATACTTAAGAAAGTAAGTATCTATCCTTCTCTTATAATATAGGAAGGCTAGATAATAATATACTATATTATATTTCTAGGTTTACAGTCTTATAATCTTTATTAATACTAGCCTATAACGTTGTAAGAGCTTTCTAGAACTCTAACCTGACCAACAAAAGATTCTTCCAATTTAGGATATTAGAATACGCTGGAACTCAACATTTCTTATGCTTCGCTGAGCAAAACGTCTTTGCCTTTTTTTTGATTAATTTTATCTAGAGAAAAATAGGCTATACCTTATACTTAATCAAGAACAATAGCACTAAGTGGATTATCTTCTCTGGATTACAGATCTATTCTTTAAATATACAATAGCTCTCTCTAGAACAAAGGATATTACTATCTATCTGGTTTTTACTATTTACAACCAGCTTTTTGATTATCTTAAGAAATCTATTCTTTGATTAAGGAAGAAAAGAGTTCCCTGAAAAAGATTAATACTTACTGCTCTTGAGGCTATACAGAAAAAGCTTGATAAATACTATACTCAGACTTATGATTCTTATAGTGATCTTTTTACTATTATAACTATCCTTTATCCTTAGAAGAAGTTAAGATTCTTTACTACCCAGGAATGGGTATAAAGAAAGAATAATCCTTTACCCTGGGAAAAAAAGATATTGCCAATGTCTACAGAAATATTTTAAGACTTACAAAGCTCGCTAAGTTGATAATTAAACTGATAATCTATATAATTATAGCTCTAATTATAGAAGCTTTGATAATATTAAGTATTTGGTTAAAAGCTCTATAGTAGGGGATATACAAGAAAATAATCAGGATAAAATTAGTCGGTATCTTAACTTAGGTCTGTCTCTAATAATTTAATATTATATAAACTATTACTAACTAGCTCTAGGAACATAAAAATTAAAGAGTATTCTTAGTTACTGGAAGGATTATAAACAAGAATATCCTTTACTTATATATCTTGTAAAGGACTTTCTTGCTGCTTCTGTAACTAGTGTAGGAGTTAAGCGTTTATTTAACTTAGCTTATAATATATATTATTATCAACGTAGCTTACTAAGTCCTACTATAATCCAGGATCTTATGATGCTGAATTATACCTCTGAGTTTGAGACTAAAACTGTAGATTTGAATATCTAGGAAGTATATCTCTTATAGCAGAAGATAGAGGTAGAGCGAGAGGAAAGAAGAGTACAGGGGGAGAAGGATAAGCTGGAGCCTATTAGTGATAATAAGGAAGAGGATATAGGTCAGAATAAAAGAGCCCTAGTAGTAGCTTCAGTAAGCCAGTTACTAGGTATACAGGGGACAACCTTATATAAACCTAAGCCAGAGGAAGATAAGTATTTAGACTTAGTTTTACTTTCTCTACCAGAAACCCAGCTTTGAGTATTAAGCAGAAACCGCAAACGGGCAAGATGTAATGATGATATATTTATGCAGTACTAGATAGAAAAAATTTAAATTTTTTAGAAATATATAGAAGATAAACCATATCTGTAATTATTATAGAATAATTCTGTTTGAATATACGTATTAAATATAAATCTTAGCTTAAATTATTACAGTATAATACCTAATAAAAAATAAAAAATTATGTACTGTTAAATTATCTAGTGTTTGTCTTGTTTGAAGGCCCGCGGGCCGGGCCGGCCTGCCTGCGGGCCTTAGTTTTAGGCCCGAGCCTACAGGCCGGGCTTCCTTAGCGGCCTGCAGCCCGTGAACTAGCGGCCCGTGGGCCTACTTTTAGGCCCGCGGCCCGGCCTGCGGGCTGTACGGGCCGCTAAAATCAGGCCCGGGCCTAGCCCGGGCCCAGAAGCCCGCGGGCTTTGGCAAGGTCTATACAGGGAGCTTATCAGACTGATCTACTTAGTGCCCTATCTGGTATACTCTTTAAAGTTACTTAATAAGACCTGAGTCTGTATAAGGCTTTGTATAGCAACAGAACGGTTGTAAGTCGATACTTAAGGCTTTATTAGTGTTTACTCTTAAGAGGCTAAATTTAGCCTCCTCAGTATAAATTATTATTCTACTATATAACAAAAGTAAGTTCTACCAACTGACCAACCACTAATAGTACAACCAGCTAGCAAATATATAATATATTAATCGCCCTATTAATATAAAACTATAAAGTTTAATTATTATATTATTGACTAGCAGTAATAGAGAAAAGGTACTAGCTCCTATACTGCTATAGATATAGACCTAGCAGGAGGATAACTAGAAAGACTAACAAGAAGCCAAGGTAAATACCTTAGAAAGATATATCAAGAACCTCACTGATTAGCTTAATATATTTAGTCAGGAATATAATTATAATATAAATAAGATATATAAGTCTATTTAATAGACTAACGTATAGCTTAGCATACTATTGCCTATAGTACTAAAGTTGCTAAAGGCAGAGAACTTTAATAGAACCTGCTCTAAGTTATAAGGTTTCCTTATATAAATAAATATATACCTTAACGTTAATAAATATAGGCTGAATACTGAAGTAAGTAAAGTTATCTTTATATTAACCTACCTTTAAGGATAAGTATAGGATTAGCTCGAACTATACGTCTAGGAATACTATAAGAAAGATAAGATAGAATAGTTAACTACCGTATATAATATCTTTTCTAGCTACCTTAAGTTTAGAAAGTACCTAGAGAAGACGTTTAGTAATATTGATATAAAAAAGACAGCTAAACAAAAGCTAAAGTAACTTTGCTAAACAACCTTGGCATCAGTATATACGGCTAAATTTATACAGTAAGTAGCTATCCTTAGATAGGATAACTATATATTAATCCTATACTATAATAAAGGACTTAAATTATATATTAAAGATAAGATTATAAGGGTCAGAGACTTTAACACTATAGATAAACTTATTAACTTTACAGTTCGAATTAATAACTAATTCTATAACCGACTTATACAGAAAAAGAAGGTAGAGAGATAGAGATAAGGTACTAGATGTCTAACTTATTACTAATTCTAACCCTAATAATAACAGTAATAATAACCTAACCAGAACAGTAATCCGTACGGTCTATAACCAATAGAGCTTAATATAGTAAGACTCCCAGACAAAGAACAGAAGTACTAGAAGAATAACAGACTCTGTTTTAACTATAGTAAGCCAGGCTATATATTAAGAAATTATTACAGTAAAAGAGATAACAAAAAGCTACAGTAGTTATATATAACTCAGGAGTAAGGGATATACAATACCACCAGAGTAGAAAAAATACAGCAACTCTGTACAACTCAGGAAGAAATATAGAACAAGACAGAGGATATCCTAAGAATATTGTTATAAGACAAACTAAGATATAAGATAAATATCCTAAGAGAGGCCATAATATAGGACGGTAAGCACTATAGGACAAAACCTAAGGAAGACATAACAGAAAATATACTGACTCAGAAGAAAAAGTAGGTCAGAAAGAGTATAATCCAACAGCCTAGCCAGAACTAGATAATAAGCTAGCTAGTGATAAATAAACAAACTAAGTAGGCGGTAGAATAGCTACTACTATATACTAATAAATAAAAAACAGAGCTAGAACCTAAAGTATAGGAGCTTAAGGTAATAAGAAAAGCTAGTTAGGCTATAGTTAACTTACAGCTTAAAGAGTATAATAAACAGAAACAGTATCTATAGATTGACCTAGATACAGTCAAAAGTCAAGGGTAGACCTAGTATACCTAGGAACCTATTAACTCCTAGGAACTTATAGACCAACCCTAGGAGCAGGGTATATAGGACCTAGGAGCTATAAATAGACTCCTAGGAACACTAAAGATCCTAGAAACTCTACCCTAGCTCCCGGGAACGCCCTATAAATTCCTAGGAATATCTTAAACGTCCCTAAGATATAAAGAACTTCTAGAAACAGTTAAGGAGCTCCTATAATATTAGACAACCTTACCTAGGGAAGTAGTACAGGAAATCCTAGAGACCCTACTAGAGGGATACTAGATAAGCTACTAAGAGGAGCAGGAACTATAATAAGTCTATAAAACTGGTGGTATAGCCCTAGAGGATCCTTATAGGATCCTTTTTGATAAATCAGATAATAACAAAACAATACTGTACGTTATTAGTACAGAAGGAACATACCTGTGCTATAAGGAAAATTATACCTGTATCAGATATATACAATACCTAGATTATAACCTAAGAGCTATAATTAGATACTACAACTACAACTGTAGAACGTATATATAAGGTAAACTAGACTATAGGGGAATTAAACCTAAGCCGCTATAGTAATTATAATACCTAGAGTAGAGATAACAACTTATAGCAACAGTATAGGGGAAATATATAAAGGCAGAAGCACTAATTACCTTCTATAGAGGAAATAAGATCAGTATATAAGTTATAATTAACTTAGGAGCTATAGGAAACTTTATAGATTTAAGCTTTACTTTAACCAGTAGAGTACTGACTATTAGGAAGGCTTATACTACTTCTCTTATCAGACTTAACGGGGAAAAGCTAAGTAAAGAGATTATATACTATACTAAATAGATTAATATAATTATTAGTAACTATCTTAAACCTATATACTTTAATATTACAGGGTTAGGAGAGTATAATATAGTACTTAGTATTCTATAGCTACGTCAGTATAGCCTAAGAATTAATTAGCAAATAGACAAGATCTACTTTAACTACTGTAAATATAAACAAACAGAGACCAGATAGACTAGAAGAGAACTACTAAATATTAAAGAGTCTAGCCCTAGGACAGCAGATACCTATTATAACCTATATAAGAATAAACCTAAACAGAGTTAGTAGCCCAGAGGCAGGGTATTAGGTAGAATTATAGATATAGACGTCCTTATAATAACAGAACAGTATCTGGATATATTAGATAATAAACTATAAGACTATATTATAATTTACTATAAATTATAATAAGCCCTCTATACAATAGAGAAAGAAATACAGATACCTAAAGACTACTAAGAGTACTAGGATATATTTAAGGTATCAGTAGATAGTATACTCCTAGAGCACGGTCTATTTAACTATAAGATTAGGATTAAGGAAGACAAGGAACTAACCTTCAGACTAATCTACTAGCTATTACTGCTAGAATCAGAAACCCTAAAGGGATATATTAAAGAGAACCTTAGGAAAGGATATATCCAGAAATTATTATTATCAGCTAGATATCTAATTATCTTTATAGACAAAAAGGACAGAAGCCTTTAACTTTATATAGACTATCAGTATTTAAATAAGATTACTATCAAAGATTAATATCTGTTGCTACTTATCTAGGAGATATAAGATTATATTCAGGGAAGTATATACTTTACTAAATATAATATTACTAACGTATATAACTGTCTTAGGATTAAAGCAGATAATAAATAGAAAACAGCGTTTAGAATAAAGTATAGATATTTTAAGTATATAGTTATACTGTTCAGACTTATAAATATACCTATAGTATTTTAATATTTTATCTTCAGTATACTAGAAAAATATCTTAATATCTTTATAATAGCCTATCTTAACAATATCCTAGTATTTTCTAAGACTATAGAAGATTATATCTAGTATAATAAGAAAGTACTACAGAAGCTTAGAGAAGCTAAAGTTATACTCAAACTTAAGAAGTATAAATTCTACGTTAAGAAAACAGATTTCCTAGAATATATAATTAGTAATAAAGGATTTAGTATATAAGAAGACAAAATCAGGAGTATTCTAGATTAGCTAATACCCAAAAATATAAAAGAAGTTTAACAGTTTCTGGGGTTATATAACTACTACTGACGTTTAATTAATAGGTTTAGAAAAGTTACGGTAGACCTTAATAAACTAACGAAAAAAGATTAGAAGTAGGTCTAGGACGATTAATCAGAAAATTTGTTTAATATCCTTAAGAGGTTGTTTGTTAAATAAATAATCCTTATACTAGTAGATCTAACGAAACTATATACAGTAGAAACCAATATATCAGACTATATACTTAGAGTATAACTTACCTAACCAGAGGATAATAGGAAACCCTAACCAGTTATATTCTGGTCTAGGAAAATAATACCTACAGAAATTAACTATAATATTTATAATAAAGAACTACTAGCTATAGTATCAGTGCTTAAAATCTAGAGAGTATACCTAGAAAAAGTAAGCTACTAAGTTTTTGTAAAATTAGATTATAAGAACCTTATATTCTTTACTAGTATAAAAGAATTAACCAGACGATAAGTATAATAGACAGAAACCTTAGTAAGATATAATTATAGGATTAAATATTACCTAGGTATAGCTAACAGCCAGGCAGATATACTTAGCAGAAGACCTAACTATACAATAGGGGTTAAGAAAGCTATTCTGGCTATACTTAAGGAAGATAGAGACGGCTATCTAGT